GGTTCTTGCAAACCTAGAAAAAGATCCAAAGAGATAGTATGCAGGAAATGATTAGTAACTTCTTGTATTACTCTGCTATTCATTTTCAATTAGTTGGTAATATTATGCTTTACTGGCTGCTTGAGTGTCTGGGTGTTGCTGGACCAAAACATGAGACCTCCGGTCCTTATGGTGATCTGTAAAGCTTTTGAATATTTGGGTTTTCCTTTAAAGCTCTATTGAAATCGTAACAGTGTGAACTTCAGTGTATGTTTAACAGTGTATGTTTCATTATTATTTTCAAAGTTCTTACTAGTGCAAATTTAGAAAATTATCAAAAATTAGTATCTTCATGGGTTAAGGGGTGGAGGCAAAGAAAAAGAGCATAAAATTAGATCACATCCCAATTATCATATTTTAAAAAATAATCTGTTCAAAAGGTTGGTCTCATGGGGTTTTTATTTTAATATTGACATAATTAGATTCCTCTTAAAAGAGAGTTTTCTGTTGGGAGTAAAGGCAAAAACCACTGGAATCTGCCCTTATTGCTTCCATCCCTTGGCTATAATACATCCTGCTTGTCAAAGAAATGTTTTAAGTTCAGGTGCAATTTTTCATTTACCATTGTGAGTTGCCAATGAGTAAGCAATTCATAATAGCCCAAAAGTATGTAGACTGAGGAGTTTGTGATATTAAAGAGCATAGAAAGGAAGGAGAAATAAGAAAATAAATTTTCCAAGTGACAAGAGTAATATGTAGAAATAAATATTAAAGGAGGTTTGTTTCCTTAATTAAATGCTTAAGGTATGAGCTGTTTTGGGGCTGCTTGTAAACTGGTTTCCAAACTGTTTAATTACTATTGTACTGTTCATCTCACCTGTCTCAAAAATATTAATCATCAAATGGTAAAATATTAGCTTGTAGTAGGAGGGTGATGTCAGAAGCTGAAACTGGAGTTCATTACAAATGCTATCTTTCATCATGCCCTTTTAAAGTGCATGTTAAATACCATAAGTATATTTTTTTTAAGATCCCCGTCAATATTAAGAAATTGGTGAATATAGGTGTAAATTATTCTTGCCTATGTGAGACATACAGGATACTTCCTCAGTGCCTAATAATGCAGTGTTTGCTCTATGGCATTTCATTTAGGAGTTCATCCCTGTGTAAATGCTGCTGTGAATCAATGAAAAGAAATTTACAATTCAGCAAAACTGTCTCCTTTGATGTATCACTATGTAGCAAATGAATCTCTGGAATCTGGAGGAGTAGGTATTTGTAGTGGCTTTTTAGTACCTCCTTCAGAATTCGGTTCTGTAGGAGGTCTGGTTCCCTTGCTGCAGGAGAAAGGAGGAGGTCTGCACCTTAAATGTGATAGGCTCGTGTTTGTTATGAGAGGTGAGTGTCTTGACTTTGTGGATGGAATTGTTAATAACTACTAGGAACAGCACAAACATAAGAAGCTGAGAAACCAACAACCTCATTAAAGAACTGAAACCGCAGTGCTGTCTTTGCCTGGCGTGGCCTGAGGTTCTGAAGAAGGATTGAGAGGCTTTTTTTCTGTGGTGGGGTTTGCATACAGATCATTACAAGCAGACTCAACTAAAGTGCTGAAGTGCTCTGGACTAATCAATTTAACTAGATCTCGACAAGAGAAGGATTCAGTGTTTTTCATGCTGCTTCAAAAATGAAGCTGTGCTGATTTGGAGACCTGAAACCAGCAGCGGTGTGTCTGAAAAGAATTGATTTGGTGTTGAAGAGGACTTCTGCTCACTCTGTTTGCTGCTTTTGCCATGTGGATGAAAAGGAGAAAACTGCGAGTGAAGTTACAGGTTCAAGGCTGTGTTTCTTCAGCTGTCTATATGTCTTTTCCCTAAGTATAGTGTAGCTCTTGAAGTGAAAGGGATACATATTGGTATTCAGTGAGGTGAACATTAAAAGATTTCTCATAGGGTGTTTATATTTAAATGGTTAATTATCATTGTTTCCAATGTTCTTGTGCTTTGCCATTTATAAAAGGTTATTAGACATTAGACTTTCTAAATGGAACATTTTACAGTAGTTAATAGCTTCTTCAAGGAGATGCTAATATCTGCATTAATTTTAAAATTAATCTATATTTTACATGATAAAAAATAATACAATACCAGGCATTATGAGAGAGACTTCCAAATATGCCTGTTTAGAGCAGTAAAAATTCTGAGCTCATAGATTAAACTGGGTTGGGTTTTTTTTGTTAATTTCTGTTGCTTTTACAAACCAGTTTCTTATTGTCATTGTTCTTTCCAGGTTACATTATCCATTTAGAAAATATTTCATTTTCATGTGATGAAATGCCTTTTTGTACTTTGAAATGCTCACAATCCCTATACAGATACCACTTTTTGAGTCTGGATATATTTTTAGCAAGATTACTTAGTGGAATAAAACATCTCTTTCTTGGACAGTGTTATACTCAAAATTTCTCCTGGAAATACAATGGACTATCAATGTTTTTAACTTCAGCTGGTAACGAAAGCAGAAAGAAAGGAAGCATTGGGAAAACTATGCCTAGTCTGATGCACATTGCATATTTCTGAAAAAAACACATATGTGTATTGAGAATATGCTATTAATTCACACACCCTCCCCTTTTAACTTCTAAAATCAGAGATCCAGAGGGAAGCCACCATGCCATTCTGAGCCCCTTGTACAAATTGCCTGCAAAGCCTAGCAGAAACAGATGTAGAAGTTTATGTTTCTTTGGCAGTTTTACATGCCAACTGAAGCCAGCAGAGCCTGAATGTGTTTTGAGAGCAGCATCTGGTTTTCTGTTTTGTTGTCTCGAGTAAGCACATTTTGGTTTGTGAATGGCACTTGGAGAAGCTTCCTTACTTTCTTAGCCAATTAGTGCCTTTCAGTCAGTAATTAATAATAAAATGTCTCTTGGTGGCCACAAGTATGTACAAGTTCCTTGCCCTGAAAGAGTATTGGGAAGGACTCTTCTCTGCATAAGTCATGCTAATAAAAAAAGTACACACTACTGAGTTCTAATTTTTCCTTGTGTTGAAATAGAAAATTATTATTTTGAGTGGACTTCACCTCTCTTAATTACTGCTCTACTCTAAAATTTTTTCATTAATGTTGACTAGTAAGAGGAATTTCATTTTTCATTTCCAGTAAGCATTATAATTTCACTTCATAACTTACTCAGTGGGAAATGTTCAAAGAGGGACAATAACTTTATCTAAAGATTTTAGTTGACATGTCTATATCGTGTCCAAGATGGAGCAGCTTTAAAAGTTAGTGAACCAAATCTGGTTAATTTTAATGATTGGTGTTTATCTTATTTGAAGAATTATATGCAGCAACATGAAAATATTAATTCAGGTAGAAAAAAATAATTCAGTTACTTTAAAACAAATAGTATTTTAATTTCCTAAATGAAGCTTAAAGAAACAGTTCTGCATTGTGCATTGGTTAGAGAATTGATACTTATGTAGGAGTTTAATGTAGAAATACAAAAAAAGCCATTCAAAGTGCTTGAGATAATGTGATGTCAAAAAGAAGTTTCTGAGAGGTAAGTACAAGTACTGCAGGCTATACATGCTGGGTATCAGTAGGGTGGGCCCAGAAAAGCAGAGCAGCTATATCAGTTTTCCTGTGGGGTCAAGTGTGATCAGATCCATAATCTGATGTGTGATCTTTTTTGGACACTGGATGGTTGTTTGGGTTTGGGTTTTTTTTTTTTTCTGTATGTCTGTAAAATGTTCAAACCTCATTCCATTTTATAAGCATTTGAAACAGTATTATTTATCAATATATCCAAAATAGTTAATTATCTTTTCTTTTTCGGCAGTATTGACTGTATTGTGGGTAGCAAGTGATGTAGTTTTTGTTTGGTTTACTAATAGTGTAGTCATGTAATTTTGTGAAAAAATTACATTGTTTACTGAAATGTAAGAGTAGTCCAGCTTTTACAGTGATCCAATAAATGAACTGAATTACATGTAAACACTTTGAAACAGATGTTGGGCCATTCTGAACTTTGCAGTATAATTTTTTAAAGACTGGTATTTTCTTCCTGTGGAAATTCTGAAGTTGTGGTTAAACCCTGCAATTCTAAGGTTATGAGTTTCAGTTTTCTGAATAGAAAATGTCAGTTTCTGAAATTTTTCTTGATTCATTTGAGATTGCCTATAAAAAGTGTGGTTGAAGTAATTTGGTGTAAAAACATAATTTGTATTTGTTGATAGAATTATGGATACATTGAACCAATACATTCATGTTTTAAAACATATTAAATTTGGTCACACATATGGTATGAATTTTGAAGAATTTTCATCGTTTGTGTCTCTATCCTAATTTTGTAGGTTCTGTTAGTTTTGAAATGTAAAAGGGTGATCCTTGCCAATACTTGGCATTTCATTCAAAGTAGTAGTCACTTGCTTATCCAAAAGGGATCAGCTTTACTTTTCTTCACTTGTACAGACCGTTTTTCACAGAGCCTTACCCTGAATGAGCCCAATATATCAGAATTTTCACCATCTTTGTATGTGATCTTAGTGACCCTTTATCTAAGGCTTCTCATGTGGTCTTGTCCTGTGCTAGGTCAATAATGTGAACCAGCAGTTCAGACTGCCAAGGCAGTTATGCTGAAAATACTAGGAAAGGAAAGCAGCTTCAGATTCTCCTGCTGCCTAAAATCCTGCTTGCCTGTGTGTTATCATGTATGTCTTACCAGGACTGTGTGCCAGTGTAGTTAAATGTAGGATAAGGGTTCTTTTTCTCTTCTTGTTTGTTTTGTCTCTTAGTGTTCTCATTTCCATCCACTTTTCCACTTTTTACTTTTTCTGCCCCTCTGCATGGTCTGTGTCCCCCCTTTCTACTCTGATGTTCCTCACTCTTTCACAGGTGCCCATCATTCCTCTTCCTCTGAGGACTTGGGAGGAGCCTTTAACCTTCCTGAGTGGGGATTTTAGGTTGTCTGGTCAGAATGCCCTGATACACAGCACATTTGTGGAACATTTTCTGTTCTGCAGGTTGGGAATCCACGTGTTGAGCTCACTCTTTCTGAACTGCAAGATATGGCTGCCCGACAACAGCAACAGATTGAAAATCAACAGCAAATGTTGGTTGCTAAGGTAATAATTATATACAGACCCATTTTTTTCAATATATGCAAGCATAAGTTTTGTGGATAGAGAAAAACATACTAAGTTGTTTCAGTTGAGCTCAAGAAATAGCTTGAGAAATCCATCATTATACCAGAATAATCTTAGCCTATGCAGTGCACAATCTTTTGGCATAAATACTGCTAGAACAGCCTATGTAATGTGTCATTATAAAAATATTGCTAGGGTTTGTTTATCTCTCTTGTGTGGCCCCCTTCATGATCTGTGGCAGAACAGGCTTGACTTCATGTTCATCTTTAGTGGCTCATTCAGTAGAATAATAGTGGGGTGAGATGAGAATATGCCAAATTCATAAAAATTTATATATTGCATTTCCACGTCTCAGAGACAGAAGAGTCTAAGTATGCAAGAGTGGGGTGGGGGTTTAATGGTTTTGACATTGTTGTTGATGTTGTTTGAAGTATTATGCAGCAGCCTTTGATGCTTAAGAGTACCTAAGAGTCAACCTACTGATTCTGTTGTTCTTCCTTAATGGAAATAATACTAAGAAATGTATTTTTCCTTGTGTGCCCAGCAGAAGAACTATTATTTAGATATAGAACGTTTTTGTACAGCAGGTCATGTTGTTTAGAATGGTCTGTTGGACATTGTCATCTTTGGAAAGCTGGGTAACAGCACTGGAAATTTATTTTGCCAATAGCAAGAAAACTGTTAATAGTGGCAGAAAACAAATGCCAGAGGAAGCGTCACAGATGTATTTGAATGAGTGTTCAGACTAGGGCTGTATTTGCATATCTATGTAAATATGTTATTTTTTTGTCTAAAAGAGTCTTGAATCTCTGCTCTAAAACAGATTTATTAATTGATGTTAAAGACTTTTTTCTGATTTGTGGAAGTAGAAAACCTGATCAAAATGATAAGGTTTTCTAAGTTAATGTGTTGGGGTTTTTTTTAAATAAATGAGCAACAGATTTCTCTTGTTTAAAACCTTCTTTTGTCAGGAACAACGTTTGCGTTACCTGAAGCAGCAAGAACGTCGCCAGCAGCAGTCTGTTTCTGAGAGTGAAAAGCTCCAAAAACTTAAAGAACGTGTTGAAACCCAAGAGACAAAGCTGAAAAAAATCCGTGCCATGAGAGGACAAGTGGACTACAGCAAGATGATGAATGGCAATCTGTGTATGTGGAATTCTTAATTTATTTACTGTTCACTGCATGACTAACAGATAATGCTATATTTTAAGTCACTGTAGCATTGAAGCAGGTCTTAAGGTAAAACGTTTTCTGTTTTATGGGGGTTCTGTGTTTCCATGAAATTTGTGTGCAACAGAACTTTTTGTTAGTTTTATATAGTCAAACATAGTCCGAATAAGTCTGTTCTCCAACCATTAGGAAATCTTATGACTGTTAGCAAATTTGCAGTACAAATATTTTATATGTATTTTAGATGTAAAGCTAGTGTGGTGTGTTTATTAGTACTTGTAGAATTAAAAAACTAACAACTTCTGCTTTATTTAATAGGTTTTTGTTATTTTTGTCTTGTTAATTTTAGCAACTGAAATTGAGCATATAAGTGCCATGTTCCAGGAAAAGCAGCAGGAGCTTCAGGCTGCAGTGTTAAAAGTGGATCAACTCACTCAGCAACTGGAGGATTTAAGGAAAGGGAAACTGAATGGGTTCCAGTCTTACAATGGACAAATGACAGGGCCTGCAGCAGTAGAATTAAAAAAGTTGTATCAAGAGCTACAGGTAAGTAACAAAAACATGCTATTTGAATTACAACTGTAGATTTAAAAAGTTTTATTTCTGGTCTTATGAGTGGCAATTTGGTTCTGTTTCACCTTATAAAAGAGGTGTTGGAATGCTGCTAATGTGTGAGGTTATAGTTGGCATACAGCCTTTTTTCAGAAAGAACTTGATTAGCTTTAAAAACTATTTTGTTTCTTATACATGTAATGATACAACATGTGCGAGTGTTTTGAAGGGAGTTTCTCAGGCTCTAATACTGAAATACTGGAAGTCCACATAATTTATTATGTGTTTTAATCTCTCTCAAAAAATTTTGAAACTATTTTTGGTACTTTTTCTGTTTTGTTTTTTTGTTTCTTGCACTTGCTATACCCAGGTATAGCAAGCTCACTTACATATCATCTTAATTTGGAGATTTTTGTAATTTTAGAAGTGTATTGTAAAAGTATAGCTATATTGTCTGGTGTGAATAAACAAAATACACAGGAATTAACACATTTTAATAGAGTAATTAAAAATGCAAGCTGCACTACATTCCCTGCACTAGATTGTGCAACATAGTTGTAGTATATTCACACAGTATTCCTGGAATCAATATTGTATATCTCCTGCAAGAAGATTATTATATCTAGAGTGTAGCTCTCACACGAGTAGTTAAGTATCCAATTTACATTGAAATTTTGTCAAATTATGTCCTAATGTATCAGGGCTTTGAGGGCTTTTTTTATTTACTCACGTGCTTTATTGTGATCAAGATAACAGCTCTAATATATTTAATATATTTTTAAATTAATTTAAATTTCAAAATTAGTATAATTTATTTAGATTATCAAATACAGCATGGAAATTAATCAATCCTGTTTTCATGCATTAGGATTAAGTGTCCTTGTTTTTACCCCTTCCCCATTTATACAAGGCATATATATCTTTTGAGTATTTCTAAGTGCAAAGATGCTCAATAGATGAAGATTCCTCTCTTGTGCTTTGCAATGATCCTATATGTGTTTATCAAGACTTAAATTTGCTTCAGGTGTTTTTTGCTTGTAGCATTACCATGAAAATTGGAACAGTGAGACAATGTCTGAGTTATTGAAGGTGTGAAAAAATGCCAACAGCAAAGCAAGAGAAATAATTATAAAGAGTGTCATGGTTGATTTAAACCATAAAAGTAATCCACCTCATAACGTACTGGAAAACTGCTGTGAAGGTTTCAGTTTAATCCCCGTGCAGAGAGGAAAATCTGTGCAGAGCCCCTGCACTAGCAGTTCAGTTAGCACACCTTCCAGACATCACATAGTCTCATGTGGAACTGGAAACAGAATCCAATAGCATAATTTCTGTTACAAGTTTTGTATCACTTAGTTTTCATGATAGACAAACTGTCTTGTGTAAGCATTAACTTTAAACAACCATTTTCTGTGATTTAGTTCTTCACAGTAAAATTTTCTGAAATGTCTTTCTGACTAATTCCTCAATCCATTTTCTGTAAATGGGATGCAGTCTGTATGTATTTAATAGGCATCCACTACTTTTTTAGGGTATTTTTTCACTGTTTTCTTCTGAGAGTTGTTCATGATTGCAGATGCTAACTTGACAGGATGTGTGGAAGCACAGAGACACAAAAACAAGTTGTTGATCCAGATTCCTTTGGGTTTTTTTTAACACTGCATTAAAAACCAATTTGCCAAGAGACAGAACAAGAACTGTCCTAGCAAGTGGGGTTTTATTTTGTTTTTGTTTGTTTTTGAAGATCCGTAACAGGCTTAACCAGGAGCAGAACTCCAAGCTCCAGCAGCAGAAAGAACTCCTGAACAAACGCAATATGGAAGTGGCCATGATGGACAAGAGAATCAATGAGCTGCGTGAACGACTGTACAAGAAAAAAGTTGAGGCACGTCAAAAAGAAAACATTCCTGTAAGATAAACTGTTAAAAGGGCCACACTTCAGTTTATCAAGAGCCTATAAAAACTACATAGAGTCTCCCTTTTTCCCACTCAAGTAATACAGTTACCTGTGACAAAAGTAGCAGGTCTCTCAAAACTATTTTAATGTTTCTCATAGATGTCCAAAAACTGGTAGACAGAATATGTTTCCATTTATTTTTCTTTATGACACATACAGTACTATATTCAAAGTCAGAAAAGTTCATATATCTAGGAAGGAAAGTATGACTATGTGCTATGTGTTTAAAAGTATGAATGCATTAAAAAAATGGGTTTTATAAAATACTTACCTTCCAGTATGAAAAATGGATAAAAATATAACAGTTTGATAAAGTTAAACTTAATTGTTTTCTGGAGCTTCAGAAAGATTTTAAGAAATGAATTCTGGATTTCCATATGTATTACTAGGTGGAGGTACTGCTCTAAAAAAACCCAACACATACATATTTGATCATTTAAGAAGTCATTTTATACCATTTGCTTGAGAAAGGCACAGTAAAAGAGACCTTACAGAGATATAGATATCTACAAGAGATGTGTGTGCTGTGACTAAAAAATTTAATTTTTGAGGTGTTGATTTTAAGGAACAAAATCTGTGCTTTCTACCACATTTTTTCCCTCTTTTTGTGGAAGTGTAGAGTATGGTAACTTAATTATTAAGTTGTCCTAGGTACAGTGCATGATTCTAGGTAATTTAAGTTTAGACCTCCCTGTTCATGCAGAAAGTCTGGATTAAATGGACATTCACGTTTCAATTTGTCTGGTCGTTTTCAGTTGAATCGTATTAATGGAACTTCATCGCCCCAGTCATCCCTGAGTGCTTCAGGAAGGGTGGCAGCAGTAGGACCTTACATCCAAGTTCCAAGTGCTGGCACTTATGCTGTACCAGTAGATCCAGTTAAGCCCCAGTCTCTCACCATTGCTCCTAACTCAACACATGGAAGATCAAAATCTGGTAAGTACTTGTGTGATGTTTATCAATACATATGGTTTGAAAAGTGGCAATAAAGGAAAGGAGTAATCTTAAGAGACCCAGTGTTGGCATAATTGGTGTAGGGGAGGAGGCAAGTTTCAGATGTGTTAATACTGCTCTGTGAATCTAATCGGTCATTAGATCTGTGACATTTTTGCTTCTTTCCATGAATTTTTCTTAGGAAATTGAGTGTTTTCATTGAAATTTTACTGTCTGGTACATCCCCAGAAGGAGCATGTTTTCTTCACAGATTCTGTCTTGTGTCTTTAATAGCTTTTTCAATTAGTTTGTGTGTTTGAATATAATCATGAAATCAACTTTGTGGAAAACTGTTATATATAACTATTTACAGTATGTTGCTTTTTGTCAAGTAAAACAAAGCTAATGAGTAAATAATAAGAATAATACTTCTCAGAAGGAAACTAAATAGGAAAATAGAATAAAACTATTTGGGGTTTTTGCTCCATCAGGGATGTGGGAATTTCTAGTCTTTGACGCATTTCTGAAATGGAATAACCATAACATTGATGTTGTTTACTTGTTTCTGCCCTATTTAGCGAAGAAGCTGCCCCTCCAGAGCACCCCAGAACTTTGTGTCTGAAATTGGCTCCCATGCCTCCCACTATTAATAATTCCATCTACATTTTTCAAATAGAATTATTATTTAATTTGTGTTGGAGGCTGAACTTCTCAATTCCAGCAAATCTCACCTGTATGCTTATACCTTAAAAAAATCTGAATTCTTAATAAATTATCAGCTAGGAAAATACACATAATATGAATAAAAATGCATGATCCCACTGGTCTAACCATAGGACTTATTTTACCTGGTCTCCTAGGAGAAATCAAAAAGGGGATAAGGAATGACTAGGAGATAAAAGCTGTTGCAATATTCACATACATTCAAGTACTTAAAACTGCATATTCCAGCAAAAATTCGCATCATGATTTCCAGATGAAGAGGAAGAAATGGGAGAAGACAATCTGAACCTCTCTGTAGGGAAGAATGTCAGAAATGCCCTTCCTGCACCCCCCCAAAAAAGCCCCAAGGTCAGAAAGTAAAACTGGCCAAACAGAACCTAAAAATAAGACTCCAATATTTCCCATTGATATTAGTGATTTAGCAATACCTTTATCAGCTAAAAGTATTCAAAATCTGTACGAACCCCATTCCTGTAGTTTTATGGAAAAGTCTCAAGAAGATGGAATTACTTAATTGTGAAGTTGAAGGTAGAGATTTGCAACAGTTTTTTTTTCAGATTTGTGGATCCTTCTTCCACATATGAAAGAGAACAGTTCCTAACTTTTAAGTTTACCAACTAAAAACCACAATTTTGTAATATCAACCTCCCAAGATATATATACCCACTTCTAGACCTACCTCAGGACTTTTAATATTATAAAAGTAATTATTCTGCCTTAGGACTGACTTTGTATTTATTATTTTTAAGATACTTGAATGAAGTTCTGTAAAATAGAGATTCATGTAAGAAGAAGCATATATGCTCCCAGTAAGAAAAGAAATTGTGAATTTATTTCAGCTGTCATGCTTTTATTTCTCATTATCTGAGTGTTCCTGTTCTAATGTTCTCCATTGTCATTGTTATAATTTTTCCACCACTTTTTTTTCTTTCTTTTTCTGTGTAACTGGATCTGCCTTGGTGCGTCCGGTAGAGACAGACTGTGGGTGTGTGAAAAAATCTCCAGACATCTGGAAGGTTTCTGATTTAGACATAATAGTGGATCCTATTCTGTCACCTCCCACTTCTCTTCAGTCTGCTGTTCACAATGTCATCCGCCTGGCACCTACTCTGTTTGACACCCAGCACTGTGAGTCCGTAGAAGATCTCTGACTAGCTAAGAACTCAGTTTTTAATATGGTCATCTGAGCTCTTGCACACAGATGCATATTAAACAGCATCTTTAGAACTTGTGTTGTGGTCTGGCGTGTAGATGATGCTGTTGAAATGTAAATTGATTGAGAAGTTGCTTTTCATCTTTGAAGGAAACAGATTTGCAGCAAATTCATCCCAGGAGTACTGGAGTAGTGTACTAGGGATGAGTTTTCTTCTCTGAAAAACCTCAAATTTTTCTCAATGTTAGAAATTTCTGGCAATCACTAAAGCATTTTAGTATATTCTGGATTGAATAGATGTATAAAATACAGGCTTAGTTTGAGTTACTTTGTAGGAAACCTCAAGTTTCTGTGTTTCACTGACCCCAGAGTTGGGATAAAAGCTCACCCATCCCAAGTCAATACCCAGAGTCTTGCTGCCTTCCATTGGACTTGGAGCATGCTTCAATTGCTGTAGTAACCTGGATCCAGACCTACAAAAATTTTAGGGAAGGTCAGAGAAAAAGCACAAAACCTTTTGTGTCTGTGTGTCACTGTCTTATTTATGTAAATGCACTACGGCCTGGTGAGAGCTGAAATACACTGGATGTTACATTTTCAGGCAGAGGCAAAAGGGTGCATTTGGAGGGGTAGATGGAGCCAGTTGGCTCTGGGGTGGATGAGAGCAGCAGCTGGGGTGGCCTTGTCAGGAGGGTGTTGGCACCAGATCCCCCTAGACCAGGTTGCTCAAAGCCTCATCCAGCCTGGCCTTGGACACCACCTGCAGGGATGGGACATCCACAACTTCTCTGGACAACTTGTGCCACTGACTCCCCACCCTCACAATGTAGGTCAGAGAGAGGAGAGAGAGTCTGAATGTACTTCAGTCTGTTATGGGGATAAACATGCTGCTTAAAATAAGTTTTTGTGTATCTATCTTTCTAATAGAAGAGTGTTGAATTTGCAGGTAAGATGTTTAACTGTGTCATGTCATGTGTTGTTTCTGTAAGTGCTTTCCTCATAATTAAACTTACAGATCTAGATGCTTTCATGTTTAATATGAATCAATTATAACACCTTTCACTGATCTTCAAAACAAAGGTTTTACTGAACTGTAACCTTACTGGAGGTATAGAATGTCTTGTGTATTTTGTACAGTAGGCATTAATTCACTGCATAGTTGGAAAATTTTCCATTATTTAGGGCACAAGTGTTTAGACACCTTTTTGGTCTCACTCTTGCTAACCAGATGATTAGAAAGAATAACAAAACTCACAACATTTTCAACTCTTGGATAATGGCAATATTAAAAGTGAGCCTCGTTACTTTACTTGCTGGCAGTTTGCAAGTATCAAAAGTGGTTTCTGGAGTATATACTGTATTCTCAGTGTAAAAATATGCAAGTATTAATCCTGTTTTGAGAGATACTTAACAAAGAGGGTAAGGATCATGGATAAAAGTAGAGTGGTGATGGAAACTTGACTCATTAGAATGTTCCAGTGCAGCTTATTTTGAGGCTATCTACTATACTAGACAGAATTCTAGAAATAGTCCTGCTGATTCTGTTTTCTAGAGGCTTAAAACTGAAATAGGAAACTTGGCCTCTAAATACCCATTTTTCATTTGATACCGTATTACTGTGGGGTCCAGAAATCTCACTGAATCTCCACAAATGCACAATCCCCCTCCATTTTAGCTCCCATCCCATAGTAAAGTCAATTATGTGTTACACGTCACCTTTACACATTTAAGGGATGGAGGAATGATCTCCAGTCTTCTTAGAGGAAGAGAGGCCTGAAGTTTAATCTTTTAAAGGCAAATTAAATCCTTAGGATCCAACATAGGATTTATTTAATTACTATAAACCATATCTAATTATTAAGCTATTTAAACTCTTTTGCTTACTTAGAGAACTGAAACTAAATAGTCTCAGTTAATAAAGTAACATCAATGCATCTAGGACTTCATTAAGGATTTGTTGCTTCAGTTTATGTGCAGCTATGCATGATCTTTTGAATATGATAACAATAAAAGCCCATGACTTGTGTCTTAATGCTGTGAGTTAAAGTTGTCAGCTGACTTTATAAATTTATGTAATATTAAATCTCTGGGGTAATTCTAATCGGGTGAGTATGTTGAGGAAAAACAAAAGGTGAGTTAACCACCACTTCAGCAAAGGAATGTGTGCTTTTGTTCCACCCTGCTGTTGAAGGGAGTTTTTACATCCTGTTATGGGTGAATGAATCTGGTAACCATAGTTTAAATTTGGAGTAAGTCCGCTCAGGGCTTACATAGACTTAACATTTACTGTAGTTTGACTTTGTCTCTGGATAGTACCCAAAGAATTGTGTTGATGAAGTGTTCCTGTACAGATTGTTACTCTGAATTTGTTTGCCTTTTAATAGCAGAATATGCAACATTTAAGCCAAAATTTTAATCACATTTTTTCTATAGAAGCTTTCAGTGCAATTTGAATGGTAAAGGGTCATGAACAGCACATTCTATGCAGTGATTTGGCTTTCAGTATTGATTTCTGAATCAAATATTAATAATTATTTATCTCACTTCTAGAATAAAACTAATCCCACTGTAATCTAAGATATTTTATTTCATATGTTGTTTTGTTTGTTTGCAATGCTAGTATGGATTATCTTAAATCTAGTATTTTTGTCTGTTTTCAAGCTAATGATGGAAATTGGCCAATACTTAAACAGAGCTCAGCCCCTGTGGTAAAACCCCCTCAGATCTCCAACACAGATTGGAAAGAATCAAGCATGGATACTGCTTTAAAACAAGGAACTATATCCAGCCAGCCTTTGCCAACTTCAGTATTAGGAAGTACTGATAAGCTGGTAGGTTTCATCTGTGATATGTTTATAGATCTGCTTCACTGAAATTATGAACCTTTGGCTTTCATAGCTGAACTCACTTCAGTCAGATACACATTCCATTTCCTTGCTGCTATTTATTTTAAAAGTCATAAAAAGAAACTTATCTTTGTATTTCTTCTGTTCCTTTTTATTCTTATCACATTAAAATGTGTGGGTTTGTTTCAACTTCAGTACTTTGTATTTCTTCCTGTTCTTTTACTTATCTAGTCTACCCTTTTCCTTCTTTGCTTCTCCTAATCCTCTCCCCCCCCCTTCATATTTTTCTAATTTATATATTTGTTAGTATTTTTACTTTGTATAGATTATTACTTCTTCAGTGTAATCATTTTCTCACAAAATAAGTCATTAAATCCACACTTAAGTGAGACTACTAGTGGTATCTGTCTTCACTGTTGTGCTAGTACTTTATTAATTCTTTAAGACTAATCTTTAAAGAATAAGGACTTGGTCTTTAAGTTGTTTTGGTAAACTTTGATAGTATGTGTTATCAAGATCAACTAGATACTGAGATCTGGAACCTAGAACAAGTTAATCAGGCTTTGCATGTATGTAAATGGTTTTGAATTTATATTAATGTGTTACAGCTGAAAGTGCCTTTCAACAGTGGCCTTTGTCTGAGTTATGATGAGATCCTTAGATAAACTCAGGTAGAATGATATCTAGTGATAAAGAAACATAAATTGTTTATGTTGACTCCTTTTCTGTCCCACAAGATTGCTAGAATGGTATGTTGAAAAGGGAATGTTCTTGCTCAGAAGTACTATTTATTGTTCTTCCACAGGGTCTTGATCTGGGGAAGGTGCCACCAACAGTTCCTGGTGTAAGCAAGCAGTTGCCTCAGAACTATGGGACCTATCCAAGCCCAGTTCCCTTAGGAACAGGTTCTACAAACTCTCTAGAAAGAAGGAAGGATGGCAGCCTGCCCAGACCTGGCACCAGTATAGCAAATCGGCAGAGGCCGGTTCCGCTCCCACCGCCCAGCAACGTGCACCAGCCCAGCTCTTCTCAGCAGATCCAGCAGAGAATTTCTGTCCCTCCCAGCCCCACGTATCAACCCTCTGGCCCCCCCTTGTTCCCAGGAGGAGAGGGCAGGCCAGAACTGCCTTTGACTGTGGCAATCAGACCTTTTCTCGCTGATAAAGGATCCAGACCTCAGTCTCCCAGAAAAGGGCCACAGACAGTGAACTCCAGTTCCATCTATTCAGTGTATCTTCAGCAAGCAACACCACCAAAGAATTATCAACAAGCTGTGTACAATACTTTAAATAAGTCGGTAAAAGCAGGTAGAATATATTTTGCTTATTTTTTCTTTGAAATACATTACTTGTTTGGCTTAGTTGACTTCCCATATCAGTTTGGAAAACTTGTCTAAATCTGTGAGGAAAGTAATTTTTGTGTATGCAGCATAGCAGAAAAATCATTCAATATATTTTTGAGATTATCAATAAATATACATTGATTTACCTTTTATTTTAAAACAATATGCAATTGGAGCAATATAGCCTGAATACTTTATCAATACTTTGATAAATAAGTTGAAAAAACAGTGTCCAGCTACAAGAGTATTACTCCTCTTATTGCTCCTCCTCATGAGAGAGGAAAAACATTCCAGATGCTGCTTGTAGCTTATAATTGTAAGCATCAACATCACCAACAGGTAAGTATTTATTTCAGTTTTGACAGTCCCCAGAACAATTTTTTTTTATTTCTGTATTAGTGCCAAACAAGTAGCAGTAGTTTTTTTATTAATATTTTATTATGTAATTTAAGAACAGCTCTTCACTGTTTTCCATCTTTCTTTTCTTCAGTTTACGGAAAGCCTGTATTACAGTCTGGTTCAACCTCTCCCTCACCCTTGCCATTCCTTCATGGCTCTTTGCCTGCCCAGTCTCCCTCACAGCCACAATCTCAGCCTCAGACTGAGGTCACTGAAAAAGATCAAGAGCTGGAAAATGCTCCACCACCCAGTGAAAACAGCAATGTGGAAAACATTCCCCGTCCTCTCAGTCCTACTAAGCTCACCCCTATTGTGCACTCGCCCCTACGGTATCAGAGTGATGCTGACCTTGAGGCTCTGAGGAGAAAACTGGCCAATGCTCCGAGGCCATTAAAGAAACGCAGCTCCATCACCGAGCCAGAGGGCCCGAGTGGACCAAATATACAAAAATTATTGTACCAGCGCTTTAATACCCTAGCTGGAGGGATAGAAAGTGCTCCTTTTTATCAGCCAAGCAATCCACAGGACTTCATAGGCAACTTAGCTGACGTTGATAATGGGAATGCCAGTACCAATGGCAATATTGAAGAACCAATCCCCGTGCAACCTACAGTTCCTGTCCCTGATGAACCACCCCCTTCGTCAGATGCCAATGACAATGAGTTACCTTCTCCTGCTACCGAGGAGTTGATAAGCACTGAAACCACAAATCAAACACCTGAGACAACTGAAGACAACAACAACAACCTTTCTATAGTTCCTTCTACTGAGCAGTCACCCAGTCCTACGCCAGAGGTCAGTTCTCCAGTAGAAGATGAAGCTCCTTTGCCACCTGCTCTTCCTGCTCCACTTCCTCCAGTAAGTAACAAAATAACAACTTCATGAACTACAGAATTAGCTTTGTCCTTAAGCATAACTGGAACATGGTAAGCTTGTGCTCAGCGGTATCTTTGCACTTGAAGTCTTATGATATCAAAAGGAAGGAAAACCAGGGGAGTTCCAGGGAGAATTCTGATGCATTAGTTTCTTTACTACTGTAGCTGCCTAATAAGGAAAATGCGCAAACAGGTAATGGGAGGTTGTGTATGTGTTTTTCAACTCTTTGGAGGTTCTTGCTGTAGAACTAATTCTAGAATTGGAGATTCCATTTTTCTTTTTTTTTTTTTCATTTGTTCAGGCCTTCAAAGATAGCTTACCCTTACTTTCATACAAACAGTTATGTCAGTGGTAAGCTTTTTAATTTGCAGGCAAGCTAAAATGGCTGTTCTGGGGAAACTGTACTCTTTGTGTCCTCTCAGAGGAGATGGACGAGGGCTAACTCCAGCAGCAGCACAGCTGGCTTGTGATGGCAGAAATATTGTTCTAATGGGCTTGTCACATACTTGGAATTGCTTTCCAAGTCCATCCTGCAGCTGCACTAAAATCTTTTAAATACTTGTCATTACCAAAATCTACCACATTTGGAGAATTGAAAAATACAGAAAAAAGTTGATTTTATTCTTTGTTGTTGTGATGTCACTCACTCTTTGAAAGCAAGGTTCATCCTCACTTTTGCACTCGGGTAGGAGCCTTGCATTCTTCTGAGAATTCAACTGCAGTGTGCAGAAGGCTTTGTATGGTCTTCCATGAGCATAAGGGCCAGGAGACATCTGGGAGAATGGGATATGTAAACTAATATTCATAATGTGAAGGGTTTGTTTTCCAAACTGAAATAGCCATCCTATATAGGACCATAAGTGAAAACAGATCCTACAGAGCTAGAGACTAAAAGCATTCTATAAAAGCTGTAGTTAATAATAGATTATTTTTTCCACAGCAAGTGACAGGGACACATGTAAGAAATTCAGAATATTCTCAAAACACACTGAAATGTGCTTCAGATCTTGAAAATGCTGCTTCTGATAACATCTACTAAAATGTCACATAAAATAGCCTCATGTTGTGTACTTTTTGTTTCTACAACAAAACTCCCAACTTGCCAGGTCTGACCTACAGCAGGGACTCCTGCTAATTCAAGGCATTGTTTCCTCTAAGTACAGACTCTGGCTTAATTGTGCGGTGCTTTCCAGGCTAAGCAAAGCTTCTCAGTGTCTTAGATAATTCACCAGTAATATGCACAGCTTATATTAGATACAATTAAGATGATGATGCTTAAAATACTGACTTAAGTACATCATGCCTTGTACTCACTATCTTTAATTAAAAGCTTTGAAGCTTTATTGGCTTGCTTTTTCATTTTTTAACTGCGTAAAATGTAGTTATTTATCAAGCCTTTTATTTAGAGACTTAAATAGAAATATTTTCATAGTTCTAAATATCATTTAGGAAGATGAGATTCATAAATGAATCGTATTTTCTACTTGTACAACCTGAAATGATCCCTCTAACCTTCATCTTTACTCAGACAAAACGTACCAACTTGAAGAAACCCAACTCAGAAAGAACAGGCCACGGTTTGAGAGTGAAGTTCAATCCCTTGGCTCTCCTCCTAGATGCTTCTTTGGAGGGTGAATTTGATCTGGTACAACGAATCATATATGAGGTAAGCTTTTAAACAATGGAAACCCCATGAAGTATTCAGGAAGAAGAAAGTGCTAAACTATTTTATGTTTTCAACAGGTTGATGATCCCAGTAAACCAAATGATGAAGGCATTACACCTTTGCATAATGCAGTGTGTGCTGGTCATCACCACATTGTGAAGTTTCTTCTTGATTTTGGTGTAAATGTAAATGCAGCAGATAGTGATGGGTGGTAAGTGTCAAGATTTTTACCCTAGTATCTGGGAGAAGCACTATTTAAATGCACATTCAAAATTTAATTGAAAACTTTAATTGTTCTGGGAACAATTTCCTTCCTCTTTATCCCCATCAAATGAGTACTCTCTAAGCTGTGGATGAACTCAAATGCAAGGTTACAGCATGTTCAGCTCCAAAGCAAGCACACTTAAACCATAAATTAGATTACAGTTTCTGATAATTAGTGTTAGAGTTGCATTTCTTGTTCAGATGATGAAAGAATTAAACTATAAATAACAAATGACAGAAATTATTTTGCTTAAGTTTCTTCATCATAGATACCACTACAGATGTTGGTGTTCTTGAAGAATCTCACCTTACAAGTAGCTGTAGCATTCCTGAAGTCTTTTTGGGGTGGGGGGGGGGGATATGAATCCTCAACTTTGTTTTACCTTTAAGGCTTGTTTGTATTGGAAAATACCCTTTCACGCCCAACAGTTTTGTAAGCTGTGAAAATTAATAGTTTTGCTATCACCAGTTTCATAATGCTTGGCTTTACTGGAGTCAGGTAAATCCTGAAATCCACCCTAGCTGCTTGACAGGTTTTAGACAATGCATACACATACTATAAACATAAAGAAAATTTTCCTGTTAAAATAGACAGGCTGTAAATGGCAAGATGAAAGTTAGGATTCATGGAAACTTCTTTTTTCACATGTACATTTTTTGCTTTGTTTCAGGACACCCTTGCATTGTGCAGCTTCTTGCAATAGTGTTCATCTCTGTAAACTACTGGTTGAATCTGGGGCAGCTATTTTTGCTTCAACTATAAGTGATATAGAAACTGCTGCAGACAAGTGTGAGGAGATGGAAGAAGGTTATATTCAGTGTTCCCAGTTTTTGTATGGTAAGCTGTGACACCAACTCTTTCCTAAGATTTATCCTGATTTGTCCCTCTGATCTATGTGAAACATCTGCTTAGGCCTCACACTGGATGATATAGCCCATCATGCCCCTGTCATTTCAAAGTGCTAAAAACAGCATCACCTTTTCATTCTGATGTTGGTCTTAGTCCTTCTGTGGTTTTAATTACTTCACAGGCTCCTTCAAGTGTTAAGATTTTTAAAGTTTTAATTTGGCTTCATTTCAAGGAAGTGTGTATACAGGGAGGTTTTGACCGTAACAGCGAGTTGTCAAGTATTTTGACAGAGAGACTCCTAACTTCCAGATGCACAGGCTGTCGACTGAATTCTAATAGTAGTAACACCCTTTTGTTTCCCATGAAATGCTGTTAAGAGTTGGTGTTTCCAAGGTATTTTGACAAAGCAGCATGTTTCTGTGTAGTGGTGCTGTGCTCTGATTTTCATCCCTATGCTGAAATTCAGAGCTGTTCTATTATCTGGGCACCTGAGATCTATACCCAGATTTCTAGCAGATCGCACAAAGAAAGAAATAGACTTTATGAATAATTAATTTACAGAAGGTGCTTACTTACTAAAACATACTTTTCAAGAAAGGCACTTCAATGGAGCAGACAATGTTTTAATTTCCATCAGAGGATTTAAGCTTCATCAAGGATCTGTCAGATCTGATATTGTGTGAGTTCCGAAAGCCTCAAGTGTCCCTGTACAAGGCCTACTGTAGGAAGCAGTTTCCACTGCATGTATAATAAAAGAGAAAAACCTCATTCTCTAAATTATTCTGTAAGATTGTTTTATCATGCAGTTAAATTTCTGACAGCATTTCATCATGGAAGTGCTGAAAACTGTTCATGAAATGTTATTAACAGGAGACTATTGACATGGGCCTCCATGTCAATAGTAAAAATCTCAGAGGGGAAAAAGAGGTTATTTTACCATCTGGTGTTGTTAACAGGAGTGCAGGAGAAGCTGGGAGTGATGAATAAAGGGGTGGTGTATGCTCTGTGGGATTATGAAGCCCAGAACAATGATGAGCTGTCATTCCATGAGGGCGATGCCATCACTATCCTGAGGCGCAAGGATGACAATGAAACGGAGTGGTGGTGGGCCCGCCTCAATGACAAGGAAGGCTATGTGCCTAAAAATCTCCTAGGGGTAAGTTCCTTCACCCTCTCCCTTCTATTTTTCATGTGCACCTGAAGTAGAAACAGAAGATGGATCTTTAGTCAGAATTCCTCTGTGCACCATCCACAGCACTATGAAGTGGTATAAAGCATGTTAGTCTCTCTGGCCTCTTGTGCACCATCCACAGCACTATGAAGTGGTATAAAGCATGTTAGTCTCTCTGGCCTCTGTGCCATTATAAACAAACAGGAGAGGCTACTGTTAGGAGATTGCTGCTGGTTGTCATTAAGCAAGTTAGTATATTTAATATAGTTTATGCTCTAATGACAACTTTTTTCTCCTCCTTGGCTGAGATACAGAGCCCTTATTGAAAATATGATGGCTCTATTAGGCAGCTTGAAGCCTTGGTTCAGAAAGTTCTTTGGGAAGGTTTTTAATACCTTGCACAAGATAAGAGCATAGGGGAGTGTGTGAGTTTAAAACAGGAAAGGGCCTTGAAGATGACAACTGTAGGCACATTGTTTATGCTCCTCAGACAGATGGAACACTGTCAGGAGAGGCCAGGAATGTAAGGTGACTAAGTAGAAAGCTACTGAGGACAAAATGCATAAGAGAACCTTGCAGAGCAGGAAATAAGCTCTCTGGAGTGCTCAACAGGGAATTTTTGTGCTTATGTAAAAGCATCCCTTGTCTATTCTGGATCTTGAGCTAAATGCATCATGTCATTTTCAGAGCAGCCATGTTGCTGCCATTGGCAGGAGTAAATCAGCCCTTTTCCTCCTGCTTCTTTTTCAGGAGTGGCCTAAGAACACCCTCAAGCTTACCAAACCCCACCTCCCAAAACACTTCATCACCCAGTTCTGCCTAATAAGTACCCCTCAGTTATGAATTATTTAAGTTGGTATTAACCTTGCAAAGCCTAATACTTTTATTCTGTTTTTTAGTTATATCCACGAATAAAACCTCGACAGCGAACCCTTGCTTGAACTCAGTTGTACAACAGTGCAGTACCATGCTGGTAACTGGAAACTTAGAACATACACTGGAGCCATCATTTTTGGTCATTTCACACAGAGAAATAAAACTATGATATTTAGTTTTAATGGTGCTTTCTCTTGTTAAATGGACAGCATCCACGATTTCCAAGATCTGCGGTTTGTAAATGAGGATTGTCTGTGTGACCCAGCACTGACGAGGAGAGCGACACCTCCGCTACCGCCAGTGTTGCGCCAGCTCTCGTCCAACGCGGTGTTTTGAGTCAGAGTTCCGTGGTAGGAGCTTTCTTGTGTTCCGTGTTCAGAGGTGTCCTTTGCAGAGTGCAGATGCACTGTCCGGTCTGCTCCAACCCCCCACAGCAACTGTCCCATGTCGGGATTTTGGGTATTTCTGTTCCATACCAGTGAATGTTGAGTTCTCATTACCCATCAGCTCTTTGGGTTCTAGGACACAAGATCTTCACCTGTTACATGCATAATTAAGTAGTTACCAAAGCTTGGTGAGGGCTAGGATTTTAGGTGGCAACATGGTGAACACTTAAATCCTAGTCTGGACAACCCCAACAAAAGCTTTACCTAGTCTAGCATCTTGCAGTATTTGCATTTAGAATCAAGCTAGAGAACTAACAAAAACCAACAGTATTTGTACACTTCTCGAAGTCCCTACACAATATTTCACTTGGTGTTTTATTTTCTTATTATTCAGCCTACAGCACCGGTGTTACCTCTACGAATGTAAAGGTTCCCCTACTAACCCCCTGAGCTCGCCCCGCCTGGACACAACAGTTAGTACTGAAGTTGCAGCAGCTAAAGGGATTTGTATGTCTGCAGGGATGAAAGTGCAATAGTTGAAAAGGGTAAGAGTCTGGTAAGGGTTATATACTGTGTCACCTGAAATCTGCCTGAGTCAGTCTAGAAGAAAATATGAAGGACTGGATAGAAGTAGAGAGAGTCGTGTAGATGCCAAGTCGAGGAGAAGAAAGAAACAAGGTTTAGAGGAGGATTTAAGAAAGGCAATACCTTATTTGAGGACAGTTTCTGTGGTTCTTGGCAGTCTTCAACTGCTGCCAAGGCAAGTTATGCAATAACCTGTTCCACTACATTGTAGTTTCAAGCAAAAAAGAAAAAACCCCAAAACAGGCACTTCACTGGAATTTTAATTGTACATGATTTTATATACCAAAAGTATATTTTGAATTTCCCATTATAAGTTTTAGCCATATTTCTTGTAATTTTCTCCCATTTAACAGTATGCAATTTGATTAACTCTTCATGTACAAGTTCTGTGTATAATTTATATATCCATTTCTGCAGTGCTGTAACTTGCTTTTACCACAGGTCAGCATTAACTGTATATATTGTGGTGAAAAGTGAAAGGGTATTATTGTTGAAGACTTTGCTACATGAATGTGATGATTTCAAGAGCCTATGATACACTAATTCAGAGAACATGTAAATGTGCACAATAAAGTACTGCTAAGGCATGGCTGCATTCTCCACTCTCTTTATAGAAGTCTCAACAGCAGATGTGGTTTTGGTCAGAGTCTGCATGGAAACACTCATTGTGGCTTGCCAAAGTTACAGCTGTCAACCCACCTTTCCTCCTTGTTTTATCAGTTTTGGTGAAGATGTGCTTACACACTAGTATTCCAATTGGGACAAATCAACCTAGAACTAAAATTAATGTTTACTTGAGAAAAAGTGAAAATTTTCAGAGTTCAGAGACCAAGGTGGCCATTACTATAGAAGTTGTATATTACAAAATTAAATAGCACCTCTTTTTTTAAATAAGTGAATTAATTTATTCATATTTGTACATTAATTTGTATACAATTTCAGGTAGCATAACAGATTAACAAAAGCTAGTTACCGAAAAGAAAATACAAAACTAAAAATTATTCTGGAAGCTTATTACAGAAGTGAAGTTTCAAGGTCAAGTTCATGTAAGTCAAATTTGGTGGTATTTGGTGAAATATTTAGATGTTTAAAATTAAATGTTTAAAAAAACTCATGTGGTTTCTATAAAATCATATCTAAGGCAGATTTTTTTTGTACATTGATTTTAAACATTTGGATAGAGGGAAAAACCTGAGATCTATACCCAAAAGCTATTCTCTGCAGAAGAGACATACACATTTGTTTGCTTCTTGTAGCAAACAGTTTATATAATGGTTACTATAAAAGTTGTGCTGTACATTAGCTGTAGTGCAGGTCACTTTCATATTAAGTGCCAGTAAAGGCTTAACAAAATATACAAAGTCTTAAAAGGTGAGGCTGTTTTAAAGCATTAACTGTATACATATTGCACACTACCGTGAATACTCATGGTTCAAAAAAATAATCACATTGCATCTGCCAGTTCTTACATAATGAACCACACTGGAATGAGAGTTAAGAACAGCAAATATTGCCAGCTGTCAAATCAGCACAAAGTGAGAGGCAGGTCTGTGGAGGCTGGTGTCTGTGTGTGCTCTCAGGAGGCCACATCTGCAGTTCTCACTGGTCCCGAGACTCATAGAGAAGTTTTGTTGCCTAACAGAAAGGGAAAATGTCAGTGTTAACTGAAGTTTCACTTGCAGCCACTTTATCTGCTTCCTACCCCTCCAAAAACCTCCTTTAAATCCAGGGCTTTAAATGCTTCCTCTATTTTCTTCCATCTGAGGCATGTACTAGCATTCAGAAAGTGCTGAATGCGCTGGCATGGTGATAGGAAGTTTGGGCATACTGTGCTGAGCAGAGTAAAAGCTGGGCAGGGGAACCTGGGTAGTTCTAAAATGGCAATAAAGCAGTAAAGAGCCAGAAACCTGCCTGTACACATTATAAACTACAGTTCTGATCAGCAATGGATCAGGTGACTGATTTCAATGTGGCTTTGGTTTTTTCCCACCATAACTTTGGTTTAGGAAATATGAACCTTCCATTTCATTGCCCATGCAGGGCCTAGCACCAAAAAATTAAAAGTCTTCCACTTCCAAAAATAAACAACTTCTTTGCACCTTCATGAAGTAGTAAAAACAATTGGCTGAACTCAGGTTCAAATGAGTATTTCATAGTGCACATTCTTCAGCCAGTAACAAAATGCAAAGAATTTTAAAACCAAATTTTTAGCTTTTTTCATCTAATAACATGCATGCATTTCAGAGTGCATAAATTCTTCAGGTCTCTGAGCAGAAAGGTAAAGTCATGTTCATTTACACCCAGCCATAGCTTCTGTTTTCTAAGCAACAAGGCCCTGAAGTCCTTAATAAAAAAAATCATAGAAGTACTCCTAAGGCTGAGTGCTCTGTCTGGTGCTGCTAAACACCCTGTGTAAAGATTTTCTTCAGCCTTGTCTAAGCTTTGGCTGCTTTGCCTACCTTGTGCATAGCTGCAAGCCAGGCTGCTGACAGCTTCTTGTTAGAGCTGAAGTCTTCACCAGCAGTAAACTTCATCTGTGTCACCTCCTCCGACCCTGGTACCTTGTACTGCAGGATCATTCCTATGGCCCGAGTGTTGCCTCCTGAAAAAAAAAATAACATCTGGAACAGCAGCAGGTGTTACCAACTAAGTAACACTTTACAGCTCATGAGTATGTTTGGAGAGATGTGCTCATTGCTCAGTTCAGAGCACAAGCAGCTGCTGGATCTCAGGAGCTCATGACCACAGCTTGTAGTGCCAGACAGTGGAACTTGCAGCCTCATATTGTTCCATTTTCTCTTCCAAGCACCAAGGCAGAACCTGCATCAGCCTTCAGATAAAGCCACACACCTGTAACACCCTCATGATTTATTATCACCATGGTAAGACATTAATACCACAGTTTCATAGGCTTAGGGTCCAATCAAGCTGATGGCAAACCAGGGTCCTGCTGGATACAGTCTGGCACAGCAGGCAGCAGTCCCTGCACACCAGGCAAAGTTTGGGAATGATGTTTACATAAGGCTAGAGAACAGCTGGCAACATAATTTACTTCCTGAAGGAAATTGCTGCCAAAGACTCTGGTCTGCCAAGAGCACAATAAGCAAGGTGTTTGTATCTCTCTTACTGAGGTTGCAGAGATGAAGATAAACCAAAGCAAAAATACAGACATTTAACAAGAACTTTTAGAATGACACATTACTGTCATTATTTCCTGCAGCAGAGGAGCATAAACTAAGCCCTAAGAACAGCACTAGCATACACAGGACACTTCTTACAAAGCTCTTTTTAGAAGTGTCTGCCTGAGAGGGCTCCTTAGAGGCTGTTACTGCAATATCTGAGGAGCCAAAACAAATCACAATCTAAGCCAAACTCAATCTAGTTAGTGCTGTTAGTGCACCTAACCCAATCAGAAGCCCACAGCAGGGTTTATAGAAGAACTGTTTTCTACTCTCCTAGGATAAATGGAAATTCAACTTCATCAATTGCTTCTCTGCACCTACTGATCAGAATAATGGCTTAATGGTCTACTGAAAGATAAACCAGTAGAAATCACACACCTACAGCCTTGACCAGTTTGCCCATTTCTGGCATTACTAAGACAGAATACACCTTGCATAACAAAGAGGCTTTTCTTTTAAAGTTGTGTAAAAGCAAGCCATTATTTAACAGTTTCAGTGCAAAGCCTTTCCAGACAGCACACAGGGAATATGTTCATTTCTAGTATGCCCAATTAAGCAGCCTGCTGAAGCAGGTGATCTGTAACATTGTGTACTACTGCAGATAGCATTTCTCATCTTCCCTTCTCCCAGCATGGACAACAGCACTTCGGTCTAAAGAGGGCTTTGAGTACCTTAGTTCTCCTCCAGAGTCTTACAAAACTCTTGGTTTATTAAACAGACCATATGGGAAGGAACAGATACATATCAGACTGGAACATAACTCAAGTTGAACAGCAATTATGGATCAAGCAAATAATCAGCACTGCAGAGAAGAGGTGAGGGGGTCAGGTCATGCTTGGGTGAGTCATGCTGAAAGGCACTGCAGATACCTTCAGTAACAGGCTGGCTCTCCAGAAGGCTGGTGTAAGTGTGAATATCTTTTTCTACCATCAAGAAGGAAAGCAGGCAGAAAAGAGATAAAGCAATCAGAAGAGTAGTGAACAAGGAATTACAGGAGCATTAAGTGACTCAGCAATACACCTGGTTGATTTAAATACCAAGGTAAGTTTATTCAAATTAACATGCTGTACTGACTGAATAGTGCACAGATGGGCTGTGCAATTAGAAAAACCCAGCGGTGACAGAAGTGCTGATAAAGAACAATTATTGAAATTCCTGACCTTGTTTGTTCTCATTTCAGTCAATTCATATTCAGGTTCATCCTGAAATATTCTAAAATCTGATAAGAAATGGGGCAGTAAGTTGCTGCACTCCAGTTTAGATGTTACCAGTTTCATCTTGAATGAAATTATGAAAGGATAGTTGAACTGTTTGCTCCCCCTCCCCCATTTCATTCTGTTAACAATGTTTGTACCAGTCAAGGCAAAATCCCAGCTGGATTCTGAAATGGAAGCTACCAAAGATTAACAGTTCCACTCCTATGAGTTCTTAAATCAGTAAATATTTGTACATACCCAAGAGAACAGGTACAACCACCCTTACTCAGATTTATCAAGAGGCTCTCCCACATTAAGGCTGCAGGGGAACGTCTCAATCTTTAGATGTTCCCCCAAATCCAGCAGCCACACGGGACAGGGTCTCACAGACTGTGCTCTATTCTGACAGCAGTTGTAACCAACACAGTTAGATACTGAATGAACTGTCTAGCTCAATAACTGTAGCTTCACTTTTTTTTTTCTTAATAGTTCATTTATATTAAAAGAAAAATTTACCTCCAGGAGTAAATCCCTCTGTAAGTATCTGAACAGTTGAAATCTGTATAATTTCAATTTCGTAATGGCTGTCTCCATCCAAAATCAAGTATCTACATAATAGAAGAAAAAGGGGTTTTGTCACTTTTTTCCTACAATATCAAGGCCAAATCAAAGGAAAAAAATTAAAACAATCTCTCAGTGACACTTCTTTTGTGTTCTTTGGGGTGAGGAGGGATAGAAATCAAGCAGAAAGTATTACTTTTCATTGAAATGTCACTATTCCAAGACATTCTGATCCACACTGTTAGTAAATTCAAACAAACATTCCATTATTGTTGGATCTACCCTTTCAGACCAATTACTCTGTCCAACATCCCCAGGGCATGTTACTCTCATATTTTTTAGGCTATTATGTAAGAATAGAGCTGTAAGTACAGCAGTGCTATAGTTTACAAGTGCAGTTTCTATCAGTCTTTCTCACCTCTGGTTGTTGGAAAGTCGACAAACCATGAGCTCAGATTTATCAGATGTTCCCAGAGTTACAAAGAATGTAGCACCTGGAAAGAAATGTTTCAGTACTCTAATACAGAGTTCAAGAAGCAACATTCAAGTATCAGAGCAGCTAACTTACTAATACACTGAATTGAGTGAAATAAAAGAATAATTGAAATATTAAACTGATTAACATCAGCAAAACACTCACATATAAAAAG